CTGAACGTACTGACATACTGAATCTTTGAAGAGAAACTTGGAGTTCACTATATCTAACAATGTTTTGCCTGATGAAGGATATTCTAGATTTGAAGTATTTGTGGGAGATTGATTTGGCCTTCCCTATGTAAATATTGTTTGCATGCCTTAATTCAGGGTGAGTTAGCCTAAGGGATGCTCATCTTTCTAGGTATGAATCAGCAGGTAGTTTTAAAACACCTGGTGTGTGCAACATGGTACCAGCCCCTGAAGAGTATGTCAGTGTGGAAAGTTGGACCTAGCTGGTGCCTGACTCAAATGTGAGATGATAAGGATGGGTGCAGAGGTAATTATCTGTGGACACAGAAATGGAGGGGAGAATTCTAAGGCACTTTTGAAAAAGAATTAACAGACTATGGAAACTTGAATATGATGATAGACAATCAGGAATTGAAACAGCCTCCCAGGATTTTAAGCCTCAGAAGTCGGAGGAAGAAGTGATTCTACTAAAAAAATATATATAGTTTTGAAAAATGACAAGCATAGCTGGTTTTGCATTATATTGCATGAACATCTCAGGGCCTGTTCTTCATTAGGTTATTCCTCAATGAAGGCAAGAGTCTTAACTCCTCTCTCTGATTTTGGAGTCTTCCTCCTCAAATCTAGCTTGTATTCTAAACTGTCAAAATGAAACCCATTTCACTGCTTTTCTGCAGGACTACCTACTGCTTGGAGTAAGTAGTGGCTGGTGAAGTTTTCCCTTTCAGAGCCTCTCTGTCTCCCTGTTGCCTTTCTAAGTTCTGTAATTCCTTTGGGCCCTAGCTTGGGTCCTGCTTTTTTCATCAAGCCTTTCAACATTTCTTTCTTCCTTTTCAGAATAGGATGGGTATATGGGGTGCGTAGGGGTGGAAGGGTGTTATACCTTTCCTTACTCATCATAAGGGTCATAGCTGATGCTCTTATAACAAAACATAACTTAACAAGAAAAAAGCATAATAAATTTATTTTATCAAAGTTCTTTTTGTTATTTTGATGTCTACTACAAACGATTCCATATTTGCTTCACTTGTCTATGCAGATATATTTTGCAATAAGCAAAATTAAGATCTTTCTGTAAAATTTGTTTTGTAAACTGTGTTTTCCTTCTTGTTGTTTTTTTTCAACTTTTATTTTAAATTCAATGGGTACATGTGGAGATGTATTACTAAGCTATATTGCAGTGATGCTGAGGTCTGGGTACGAACGATGCCATCACCCAGGTTTAATCAAAGTTTCATATGACACAGGAGCCTTCAGAAATGAAGATCCAAAGACCCAGGGAAAACTGTCTACTTTTATGCTTAGGTTTAAAGAATGGAGTCCTTGTAGGAATGTGATTGGATAATGGGTTTGACCTAATGGTAGTAGATTTAGGTGAGGGGTTCTGACCTAGCAAGGCCTGCCTGTTCAGATTCTTCTTGGCCTCTCTGGCAGCATTCCTTCTTCCCAGGTATGAAGCAGGACCCTCTGGACTGAAGGACTTTAAGGAAGAAGGGAAGAGTGGTCTTTCTACATTTTATGGCTTGCCCTTGGATAGAGAAATTTTAGTTTCTGTGACCTACCTTGGGGAGAGGAATTTTGGTTTCTATGACTTGCTTCAGGGAAGAAAGAGGGGTGGGAGATGGGAGGAGGGGAGAAGGTCAGAGTGACCTTGCTTCTGAGGCCCCTTCAGTCCCCTAAAGTACTCAAGCATGCCAAGGTGACAGACTTTGCAACATTGTTTCCTGAGCCCCAACAACTGCTTATTTGGAATTTTACTCATTGAATGTTATATGTTGTTGAAATTACCTAAAATTTCAAAAATGTACAATCTGAATCAATTTCATCTTTCTTTCATAAGTAATGTATTCAAGCTCCAGGGTGGCATCTATAGGAAAAGTCTGTGCTTAAATTAGTGAGGCAAAAGAAGTATTTCCACTTGAAAATACTTCATGCTGTTATTTACCCATTTAAGTCAGAGGAGTTTCTAGCTATAGTTTAGAAATGTTTACACCTAGGCAGCACCTGCACACTCCACCTCTGCACCTAGGGTCCTCCCTGTGGCCTCCCCATCAGGCATGGCAGTGCAGAGCTGGCAAAGGGCACCATCTGTCAGGACCTCCCCTCCAGCCCCGCAGCCCCGTGGTGCTGCGTAGGGTCAGGTGCCCTCGAAGCTCTATCACTAAACTGTTCAGTCACTAAACTACTCAGTGGGACTTACAGGCACTGTTTATTGGAAACAGTCTTCCACTGGATGTTTTTATATTCAGAGATTCATCAGGGGCAAATCTGACAGAAAGAGAGATTGATTTTGAAAGCCAAGTTTCTCCAGAGGCTTGTCAGTGAAGCTTTAGAGTTGAAGCCTGTGGCATGTCAGTGAGATCAACTGTGTGCCTTTGACACATTGGACTTAGGTCATCAGTCCAGTGTGGAGTTTGGGGGTGGGGGTTGGCATTGGGACAATTCAAGCGTAAGAGAGATGAGGACAGGATGTGCATCAGGGAGGACTCAGTTTGTGTTTATGGTGATAAATTAGGGCCATGAAGTCCTTGTGGGTTTGACTCTCAAAGTTATTACATCTGTGCTAACATCTACCAATTCTTTCCGAAGAGTGTATATTGCCTACCATTTTAACTCTTTGCTGAATTGCTGCTTCTTTTATCTAACAGGTAAAATTCATTACAAAAATGAAAACTTTTGGCTAGTTCTGCACTACCAGAGCCTTCCATCATTATTTTTTACAGAAGCATGCTCATGAATAAGGACCTTCACTGCAGCATTACAGTGATGTGAAATAGCTGAAGTTGAAAATATCTAACCACTGGGGAATGAATGGTTTAATAATTTATGGTATATCCTTATTGTGGAATACTATTCAAGTATTAAAAAATAAGGCCTGTCTGTATTTAGAGATGTGAAAAGGGTGCTATGATATATCGTGGGCAAAAAAAGTGAGATGCAAAATTATATGTGTATATGTATATACACACATATGCATACCGTAATCTATTTTTGTTCAGAAGAAAATCATGTATAGGTAAATAGACTGCTTAATAATATTAGCTAATATTTATTAAATTTGTATTGTGTGCTAGCACTGTCTAATACTCATCATACCTAAATGACCTCATTTCGTTCTCATAATAACACTCTGACGTAGGTAATTATTTAACCTGCCTTACAGCAGAAGAAACAGCAGCTTAGAAGAGAAGTTAGGAGGCCTTCTCCAGGCTGCATGGGAGGTTACAGGCAAAAGCTGGACTCTAGTCCAGAAGCCTGCACTTCTACCCACCATGCTCTGTGTACTGCTTCTTAACATTTACCTGCTAAAAGAATATAAGGTATCCTAATATTTAGTTGGAGTCTTAAAGAAAACTCATATTTGAGATTAGGTTTTTTTTTTTTTTTTTGAGACAGAGTTTCGCTCTTGTTACCCAGGCTGGAGTGCAGTGGTGAAATCTCGGCTCACCGCAACCTCCGTCTCCTGGGTTCAAGCACCTCTCCTGCCTCAGCCTCCCCAGTAGCTGGGACTACAGGTGTGCGCCACCATGCCCAGCTAATTTTTGTATTTTTAGTAGAGACAAGGTTTCATCATGTTGACCAGGATGGTCTTGATCTCTTGACCTTGTGATCCACCCACCTCGGCCTCCCAAAGTGCTGGGATTATAGGTGTGAGCCACCGCACCTGGCCTTGAGATGGGTTTTTAAGGAGGTACCTGTCAGATCCTTCCCTCGCACCTGAATTGGCCTCCAGGCTGCTGAAGCCTCCTGCACACGTATCTATGGCCAGGTCATCTCCCCACCCTGATGCCTTCTACCCCATGGTGCTGTTACTTATTATGGAATTCAGAAAGCACTTACTGCTTTGTTTCCTGTGTTCTTAATAACTCTAGGAACCTTGATGAGTAACTGCTACTTAAACATCTTGTTCTTAAATTTGGAGCATAACTGTTATGATACAGTTCTAACTGCTAGGGTCACGTAGTTCTACAGTTCAAATTAAACATTAGCTCATATTGCCTCTAGGTTTAAAACTAATGTACCCAGAAGAAATTTACAAAGGGCCAGCAATGTCGAAATAGCTCAAGCGCAAACAGAGGGGTCCTGTGTGCTGGCAATGACAAGGTGATGTTGTCGAAAGTCCCTATTTGATTCCTCATTTGTCCATCCCTTCCCAGTGGCCTTTTCCTCTCTGAACTTTCAACAGTCTTGTGCGTAAGCACTTCGGTTCGCTCCTTGTGAAATGCCATTGATTCGCTAGGCGTACCAATGTAACATCCCTTACTTTATTCTAGAAGACGTCACTTTATTACCGTTTTAATTCCCTGAAGGGGTGATGCCGCCACTGCTCATCAGTTAGCAAAACTCAAGCTTTGGAGCACCAGAATGTGTGCCAGAAAAAAATGTTCAAATGCTTGTATAATAAACTCAGAATGGGGGTTAGTCACCAGAATTGTTAGATGGGGCTATTGCCTCCTAACTTTTGCTTCCCACAGTCTGAACTTTGATGCACAGGTTATGATTGATTACTTTTTATTGCATCCTAGTGGGAACTGGTTTCTCCACCCATCCTCATTCTCTGTGGTCTCAATTCCCAATTGTTCCTTGGTTCAGAGGATGTAGCTGGATCTGAGAATGGGAGACGCTGTCGTAAACGACATGAACTACTGAAAGATATATTCCTGTGTTACTACTTTTCGTGGTCAAAGCAAAGACAATGCAAGAGTTATGTGTATATGATGTTTATTATGTATATAGAACTGAATATGTAGATGTTTGTTTTATCATCTGGAAGCTTTGGGAAACTGGACTTTGATAATTTCCCTGTAATGAATCCATTTCTCAAAAGCATTTTTTTTCTGGGGAAAAAAAAAACCACATTGTTCTCTGTAACCTCCCCAAATAGATACTTTTTAAAGATCTTGCTTGTTAAAGTGCCTGCCAGCCTCTTAGAGAAGTTGACAGTGTAGGTGATTCCTGTTACCAGAAACACGTGGACTCAAAGCTTTTCCTATAAAGTGAATCTGTTGTGTAACATCACAGCTGGCTCAGAATACAGGTGCCTGCTCCTGCTCTCCCTGAGAAGGTAGAAGGGGAAGAGACCAATCCAGATGAGATGCAGGGGAGGAGGGGACACCCAACAGCAAAGACACCGTTGCAATCTTTGCCTAAACCATATCTCTGAGAAAGAGTTTCTTGTTGCCTGTTTATCTCTGGGTTACCACGGACCCCTGCTCTCCAAGGTGGGTTGTGAACTCTGGGGCACTACTGAGATTGGCTGAGAGCTGAAGGACAGTCCCAAAGGAGCTTCAGTTCTGTGGAACCTATACAGCCTTCTTTACCTTACCTTGACCAGGTGCTTAGAGTTTGGAAAGTCAGGGGTAAGAACTGAAATTCCTTGAGGTAAGAAGACTCCCCTCTTAGGAAATGGACTCCTCCTGTTTTCTCACATGATGATTCAGGCACTTTCGCTTTTCCATATGTAGGAGTCGCCCAGGAGCAAGCTGTGGCAAGCTGGAGGGAGGGACACATCTGTGTGCCACCCGCTCCCTCCCTTCCTACCCGTCCTCGCCTGTTCTCACGTGCTCACAGGCATTTAGGCAGAAGTGATCCCCGTGGCTCTGCCAAAGACAAGCCTGTTGGGTTGAAGAAAGAAAAAAAAAAAAACCAAAACTCAGGCAAAGTCACAGCCTTAAAATTGTTCCTTGGAAGAAGCTTGGGTGGAGAAGCGTGAGAAGATGAATGGACCTGTGGATGGCTTGTGTGACCATTCTCTAAGTGACGAAGGAGCCTTCATGTTCACGTCTGAGTCTGTGGGAGAGGGACACCCAGGTAAGTAGGCTGTCCTGGACCGACTAGAAAATTGTCATTCCAAGCCTATACTGAGGGAGTCGCTTAAAAATGGTTTTAATTGACACATAATCACATAATAATTGTACATATTTACGGGGTACAGTGTGTGGTTTTGATATATGAATATAACATGTAATGATCAAATTAGGGTAATAGGCATACCCATTGCTGCAGACATTTATGTGTAATCCCAGCACTTTGGAAGGCCGAGGCAGGCGGATCACCTCAGGTCAGGAGTTCGATACCAGCCTGACCACCCCGTCTCTACTAAAAATACAAAAACTTAGCCAGTCGTGGTGGTGCATGCCTGTAATCCCAGCTACTTGGGAGGCTGAGGCAGGAGAATCACTTGAACTCGTGAGGCGGAGGTTGTGGTGAACTGAGACGTGTGATTGTACTCCAGCCTTAGCAACGAGAGCAAGACTCCGTCTCAGAAAAAGAAAGAAAACATTCAAAATTCCCTCTTCTAGCTCTTCAGTCACGTTACTGTGCAATGGAATGCCAGAACTCATTCCTTCTACTATCTGAGTATAACTTTGTACCTGAGGGAGTCACTTTTGCTAGAGCTCTTCAGAGCAACGTGTGTGAGTTACTAGAAGGGATCTCTAGAGAAACAGCATAGACTAGTTTTGTAAAACAGCCCTTCGTGAGGAAACCATGCTGCGACCCACCACCAGCATACCAACACAGTGGGGTCAAGACAGGGAGTAACGGCCAGCTAAGAGTGTGGCACATGCAAAATGTATGATCAGCTCTTACCTTTTTATATGCATTTTTTTAAAGTAAAGCTTTAATCTCTTATCAATGGCCAATTTAAGTCAACAGAGAATGTTCCTGAAACCAGACGGTGGGTGACTACATTTTGCATGTAAAGCATGTGCAACTTAGGCATGAAAGCCTGCACCCTGGTCGCTGCTGGGGTAGACCACTAGGTGCTGGGGACTCAGGGACATTCTCTAAGCGAAGGATAGATGAACCTCTTAACAGGAAGAAAATTTAGGTATTGGTTTTGGTCCCTGAAAAGTAGGTGGAATGTAATATGGGGAAGTGAGAGAAGCTTCCTTGGTGACGGTGAGGACTATGATCAGACATTCAGAGCCTCAGGTGGTTCTCAAACTTCAGGGTGCTTCAGAATCCCCTAGAGGGCTTGTCAAGATACTGAGGGCTAGGCCCTATGCCCCAAAGTTTCCGATTCAGTAGGTCTTGGGAGCAGCTCAAGAATCTGCATTTTTGACAAGTTCCCAGGAGATCCCGACGCTCTGGGGTGAGAACTGCACTGAGAACCACTGCTCTGGGAGACCCCTGGGGGATAGATGTACAGACTTCTGTATTTAAGTACCTCTTCAAAATTCATTCGCGTGTTTGCCAACTTATTCCCAAGTCTGCCTTTTTCCTTCTTCCTTGCTCTTGTTTTTTCTCAAAGATATTTATCTTTCCTACCTTGTAAGTTGGCTTTGGACACCTCAATGCACTACTCCTTCCATATACTTTAGCCAGTGGTCCTTGGCGGGAGGCAGTTTTGCCCCGCACCCCTCCAAGAGCATTTTGTATTGTCTGGAGACATTTTTGGTTATCACGTCTTTGGGGGGTGACGTAAGGTGCTATTGGCATCTGCTGGGTAGAGATCAGGCACACTGCTAAGCATCCTGCAGTTCAGGACAGCCTCCCAGCAAAGAATTAATTATCTGACCCAAAATGTTAATAGTGCAGCTATTGAAAAACCTTGAATTGAATTGAGTTTTTTATGTGACTTAGCTCAGTTCAATGTAAATAGCCTCTTTCATTGTGCATAACTGTATAGACAAAGTATCTAGGTTTACTGTGTTTTCAATCTCAGATACATTGCTGACTTGTGACACATTCCAGTCAGCTCCATGGCTTATGAACCTCATGTATAGCTTAGGAGAATGCTTCACTCCACCTGAAGAAAGTGGGTTTTTTGGCATGCAGTGGCCAGTAGTCCCAAAAACGGCCCATTGTGCTCAACAGCAGTGTGCTCAGGACTGAGAATGAACATGCCAGCCAATCAGTTGATTGTTTTGTGTACGTAATGATAGCCGATCCATTTGTCTGACTGTCCCTTGTACTTGCCATTATAATTGTTGAGGTAAGTCAGTTTCCATGAAGGCTTGGTGACTTTCTGCTGGTCATTCCATTGCTGAATTCCTCTCTACTAGAAAGATAAAGTTTTTCTTTTCCAGTTTTCCAAACAAACAAACAACTACTGGCTATCTTAAACCTACTAAGTGACATTGATAAAAATTTTGAAAGAAAAAAGCAGTTCAGAAATGACCTCCTTGGGTGTGGTCTTGGTGTGTGGCACTGTCTGGAAGCCGCTGCCGGGTTCCAGCTTTGTTCCTTCTCACTGTTGGATTTTCCTAGGCAGAGTGGGAGCCTGTAAGCTGTGTCTTTGCATAGGCAAAGATATCCACAGTTAGTGATCAGTCAGTAAGCTTCTAGGAACCCTGATGGGCAGGCATAAGGTGGCCAGCATGTATTTATTTTAGGGTGTTTCAGCAGTGGGAGGCCTTCACTGGTAGAGGTGTGCAGAGGCTATGGGCCTAGACAAACCTAAAGATACTACCAGGATCTACCACTGGCAGGAGGCTAAATTAAAAAAAAAAAAGAAACGAACAAAAAGAACTTCAAACATATGTTTAGCAATAGTTTCTAAAAAGAAGATGAGGGAGTTAATGAATATCTTTAATGACAGAATTTAATAACTGCTTTTGAGAGCCAAACTGCTTGATTCTGGATCTGGATTCTTAACAAAAACATAATACTCTATTAAAAGCAGACTGTGGGTATTTTTAACACTAAATGAGCTATAATATATGTAAATAGAGGTCAGTTTTATTTCTTAATTTGTAGGTATTGACAGTTTGCATAACCCCAAAGCAAGAGTGGATTTTCCTCCAGCACCATTTAGTGCTTTGTATTCTAGACCACGTGAGTCTTTAAGGCAAATAGTGGAAGAATAAAGTCAAATCCCAGCTCATGTTGAACCCTTGTCAGTTCTACCTTAATTGAAGAGGTCAAGACCAGCTTGAAGAATACCTGGCCAGGCCGGGCGCGGTGGCTCAAGCCTGTAATCCCAGCACTTTGGGAGGCTGAGGCGGGTGGATCACGAGGTCAAGAGATCGAGACCATCCTGGTCAACATGGTGAAACCCCGTCTCTACTAAAAATACAAAAAATTAGCTGGGCATGGTGGCGTGTGCCTGTAATCCCAGCTACTCAGGAGGCTGAGGCAGGAGAATTGCCTGAACCCAGGAGGCGGAGGTTGCGGTGAGCCGAGATCGCGCCATTGCACTCCAGCCTGGGTAACAAGAGCGAAACTCCGTCCCAAAAAAAAAAAAAAGAACACCTGGCCTTCAGGAGGCTGAGTGACTGTGTGGGAGGACCTGAGAGCTGCTTATGGAAGTATTCTGCCAAATAACAATGACATGTAGGGGTTCTCTTGTAGAATTTTTATGGGTGGAGTCATGTACTGGGGTGTGGTGTTTTATATATGGTGCATTGCATCTTGTGGAACCTGCCATGCATCTGATTTTACCTCTTGGCACCTAACTTTACTGACTTTTCTTAACTATTTTTAAGTTCATTTCCAGGACTTTTCTAGATGTTAGAATTAAATGGAACATAATGAGGAATGAGAGAGTTTTTATTTAGAAGAATGTGTGTGTGTCTGTTTGTCTGTCTGTGTGTATGTGTGAGTTGCTTTAGACTCCTAGAAGAGCTGATTTTGGCCGGGTGTGGTGGCTCACACCTGTAATGCCAGCACTTTTGGAGGCCGAGGTGGGTGGATCACTTGAGGCCAAGAGTTCAAGACCAGCCTAGCCAACATGGTGAAACACCATCTCTACTGAAAATACAAAACAAATTAGCTGGGCCTGGTAGCTCCTGACTGTAATCCTAGCTACTTGGGAAGCTGGGGTGGGAGGATCATGTGAACCTGGAAGGTGGAGCTTGCAGTGAAATGAGATTGCACCACTGCACTCCAGCCTGGGTGATAGACCGAGACTCCATCTCAAAACAAAACAAAAAAAATGTATTTCTCTTTTAGGGTATGCTATGACGTTATATAATACATGTCATCCAAAATTAGGCAGGAATGGAAAGAAATAAAAATTTCAAAATATTTCTAATTACTTATACTTTAAAAAAGTGTTTTCCCTCTGGTAGAGTTGATATGTAAACTGAAACAATATCTAATTATTTCAACATTTCAATTTGTTATCACTAATACTTTTATCATTCTGACCCATGTTTGGTCTTGTCCAGATAAGATCTGTGACCAGATCAGTGATGCAGTGCTGGATGCCCATCTCAAGCAAGACCCCAATGCCAAGGTGGCCTGCGGTAAGAAACACCTGGTCCCTTCCTACTGGAGACCTAAGTGGGCTAGACTGAGAACTTAATCATGGGTATAAGACAAAAGAGCCGTACTCCTTAGTTACAAAATCCGTGACCTCTGGTCTGCAGTAGGTTTCTCGATTATGAGACCTCCCCTGTGTAGTAACATGGAGGAAAAATATTTAGAAACAAACAGATCAAACAAATAGATAATTATTTTCAGCAAGAATCTGACATTAAATGTCTTGCCTAGCGAGCCCAGTGCATCCCCATAAATAGCACAGGGTTGGAGCAGCATGTGGTCTTTCTGATGCTTGATCTCATTGGGAACAAGGAGGTCTTTCTAAGTCTTTACGTGAATCTTCCAGACGAGATGAAAGAGCTTGAAATACGGGTAGCTGCCTAGATGGTTAAAAGCTGTACCCTTGTAGGAGCCTATGTTGGCTGCACAACATCTGGCTCCTTCCCTTGTTTTCTTCCCTAGTTTGTGGTATGACTCAGGTTTTAACATAATTAGTGTCCCCCATTTAATAGCAACTGGAAGGCAGCATCTTCATCAATTTTTTTCAATAAACCAATGGCTTTCCTAAGAGACATTAATGTTAAACTAAACTACTGAAGCCCTGGTTTCCATCTGCACAGTTTACTGTGTCTGAAGACTCATGTAGGCTGAAGATCTTCACCTTTATTTGTGGGAAAAGTTGTTTGGCAGGAAAACCTTTGCCTGGATTGAAGCCCCAGGCACAATGGCAGAGTCAGGGACTCTGGAGCCTGGAAGGCCCCCAGGGTGATCAGGTCCAGCCTGTTCATCTTAGGGATGGGATCACGGTGCCCTCTGCATCAGGGCCTGGCCAAAGCTATGGGGTAGGGGTGCTCCAGGATCAGAGCCCTGCTCTCCTTATTGTCATTGTCATGTCCTGTCCACTGCATGGACCCATCCTGCCCTCTGTGGTTGCATCCTTGCCCCTGTATTGAATACTACGGGGACTCATGCCCCTCTGAGGGTAGACTCTACCCTTACATCTTTGTAAATATCTGGAGAGACAGTTGGCCTGCTTTGATTTTTGGTCTGGATCCCACTCCCTAAAGGCTACAGTGGAGATTTAGCAATGTGGGGGATGGAGGGGGGTCACATGTGTGGACTGCATTCTTTATGATAACTGCATACAACCATTGTCTTCCTTTAATTCACACACAGCAATCTTATAAATAGCTTTATTAAAGAGCTGAGGGAACAGAGACTTAGAGGGGTTAAATAAGTTGTCCAGCATCACAACTGATGACTGACTCTTTCCAAGACAACACTGGAAGATGCTCAGTGCTTGGTGCTGGGGTTTTTTTCTTTATATTGGCATTTATAGTTTCCTTCTGAAATCCATTCCTTGTAAGGTCCCTTGTGTGTCTTTTTTGTCTGCACTGTGAGAGGTCTGGGAATGTGAGCTTCCCTTTGCTGGCGCTTGGCTGCTAACTCTCCCTGCTCCCTTTCAGAGACGGTGTGCAAGACTGGCATGGTGCTGCTATGTGGCGAGATCACCTCAGTGGCCATGGTGGACTACCAGCGGGTGGTGAGGGATACCATCAAGCACATCGGCTACGATGACTCGGCTAAGGGTGAGGGCGGGCCTCCGGGCCTGAAATCCCTGTTGCTCTCTGCTGATAGAGACCCCAAAGCTGAGGCAAACCCATGGCTTTCAGCCTGATGGGAGCGCCAACACTTCCAGAAGGAACACACTCCTACACTCGTCCGTCAGGTTCCAGGGGTCAAAGCCTCTGGCAGAAGGATGGACAACAGGCGACTGTGCCTAGCAAGCCCAGCGCATGCCCATCTGTTGCTGACTGGGCTTGTTTCAGGCCCTGCCTTACTGGTGCTGGCAAAGGCTTTGGAAGAGAAAGATGCACTGCATAAGGGAGCTCTGGGGACATGCTCCCTTCCAGGCACGGGTGATAGTCTCTTGTTTTGTCTTAATCATTTATGTACTTCTTATACAGATGAGGAAATGGGAGGCCTGGAGGGGTAAACAGTCTGTGTGATCTCACTCCTTTGCTTCTACTAAACATACTTCCAATCACAGACGTGGAGCAAGATGCCTCGGTCCAGAACTGGTGCTGACAGCAGGCGAGGCTGGTCCAGGTTAGCACCAGTGCCACACAGTGTGTAAGGCCACCAACCAGGGAAGGGGCACAGGCCTTAGCAGAGCCCTGAAGCAGATTCCAACGTCTGAGACTGAGGAGGCGAGGCAGCGGTATAGCCTGGAGGGCAGCAAAGGACCCAGGGAGCAAGCACCAGGTGCCGAGGGGCTGTGTGCAGTCACATTCTGCAGAAGCTTCAGGGGCCCTTCATCCACACTGGCTTCCTGGGCAGGGCTCTGGCTCCAGCTCTTAGAGTCTCCACACTGGTCTCTGGCATGTTCAGGCAAGTCCAATTTTTAAAGAAAAATTCGTTTTGAGTCTCTGTTGGCTCTCTCCCTAATTCTCTGAAATCACCATGAGAGATTTGGTGAGCTCATGCCATGGCAAAAAGACCCACCTACCTCCAGGCCAACCTGCCTCAATATACACCTGTAATCAACATGCACAGAGAGAAGCATGACTTTAAAGGTGTTCATTTCTGCCTGTGTCACATAGTGGTTGCTTAGGGTGACGTGTGCCATCCTGTGGGTCAGGGTATGCAGAGATGCTGGCACCCCACCTTTGTAAATGAGAGAGCCCACTGATGGTGCGATGGTGCGGACTCACAGAGGCTCAGTCCAGTCGCGGCCTGACGCAGCCCAGCGCAAGCATGAGCAATTAATGTTGGTTGAGTGCCTGACAGTAATTTTGAGACTCATTGGAAAGTGAAGCAGTCACAGCCAGTTAACTCTCCTGGTGGGGACCTGAAGGTATTCACAGAGGAAACTCATTGTCCCAAAGCAGCAGCTTCCTGAGGCATTGGGAGCCTGTTCTACCAAGAAAAGCCAATTTGTTTATGTACATTTAGACCTTATTCAAGTGCAAACCTAGTTCTGCATTAGACAGCAGGGAAATTTTCCAGGAGGCAATGTTCCCTAGAAAGGGAGAAATGAGCAAGAGCCCAGCCATGGCTGAGTTGGGCTCAGCTGGCGAAGGTTCCCTGTGCCCTAGCTTGTCCATTAGCCTGTGCTCAGTGGGCGGTTGGGTGCACAAACAGCTTTAGCAGGGCCTCAGGCCAGTGGCTCCTCACTGCTTCTGGCTGCCAAGTTGCTGGGGTCCTTGTCCTTTCCAAGCCCTGTACCTCTCCTCTTGGTTCCCTAAGTTCTGTTTTTCCAAGTTTCTAGGAGCTCTTGCTTGATTTTTGAGTACTGGGGAGATGCATTATTTAGACAAGCAGTGATTAGGTAAACTGTGAAATGTTCAGTGTAGAACAGGACAGCCTTTGGCAGTTTACTCTAAAGATTGTTCATTGATTAGTGCATTCAAAACCATTCATTAGGAAACAGGAGGGTGTAAAGGGCAAAGGTGACCTGATACGTATTCCCAGGGTGGAGAGAGCACCCGGCCTCAAATGATGCAACATGAGGTGCCCAGGGGTGAGTCCCTGGCATCGTGTGTAATGAGCTGCAGGCAGGTCCAGGGACATGCACTGAGAGTGGACGTAGTGGACACATGGGGTGGGAGCGGGAGGAAGAATATTCTAGGCAGGGATGTAGTGGAGATGGAAAAGTATATCATGCTTACGGCTAAACCTGAGTTCATGTTGGCTCAAGGAGTCCTGGGAGCAAGGCGTGCGTCCTACTGAAGAGCTGCGGTTTTATTCCTTGGCAGTAGATCCCACCTGAAGCTTGTACAGAAACCACAGCTTGTATCTGTGTGTTTTCTCTGTAAGCCCTTTCAGGCTGTGTGGGTAGAATAGACGGGAAAGAGGATGGCTGCGGGGGTTCAGGAAGAGGACAGTGAGTGTGTCACTCTGCTTGACCTTATGGTGGGGGCGTCCATGTATTCAGCCCCTTATTCTCACAGTCCCCTTGGCTGGAGGAGGTGTGCATGGTCTTGGTGCACAGCAGTTTCCTTGTGGGGCTCCTGGGGCTGGGCTGCTGCTAGTCCAGACTTCCCTGAACCAGTGCCCAGTATGCTACGGTAGCAGCCCTGCACCCCATGCCTCAGCTTTGCAGCCAGGAAAGGGCAGTTGGCTTTTCCATTTGCCCCAGACCCTGTGTACCTATGGGGGTCAGAGGACCCTGGCTCTGGGAGTCTGTCTGAATAGTTCCTGTACCCTGTATTTGTTCAGTATGTTTAATAGTTGGATCAGGTGCACAGCTGGGCTTCTGAGTGACAGTGTCAAAAGGGCTCTTGATTTTCTCCTAGTGCAGTGATGCTCAAAGTGGGTTCTGGGAGGGACCTGTGGGAGAGCCTAAGGGGCAGGTTATGAGTCAGCCACCATCCTCAGCCAGAGGAGGCTTGGGATCACCTCGTTTTAATCTGCAGGTCTCTGTAGTATGTGTGTGTGTGCGTGTTAACCAAGGTGTAATGGAGCACAGCAAAATGCACCATGGAGAATATTGGTTGGCCAAAGAGTTCTACATGATAGCGTGGGAAGGTGCAGGGCCTCCCCTATCGTGGGCCTTAGCTGTGGGCCTAGACGGACCCTGGCTAGTTAGAGACCCCCCACCCCGACACCAAATGGCATGTCAGGAACCCAGCCATCTGTCAGGAAGCCCGTGGCCCCCTCCATGTGACCTGAGCCCTTCTTAGGCTCACTTTCCTCCACCTAGGCTTTGACTTCAAGACATGCAACGTGCTGGTGGCTTTGGAGCAGCAGTCCCCGGATATCGCCCAGTGCGTCCATCTGGACAGAAACGAGGAGGATGTTGGGGCAGGCGATCAGGTAGCTCGGCACTGCACGTGGGAGCTGTGTGTTGAGCTGGCCGGGGAAGTTCATGAGCAGTGGGTTACTCACGCTGAGGGGTGGACTCTCATTCTAGTGCGAGAGCCAGGAGCGAGTTGGGCACCCCAGCTTCATGGCTGTGCTGTGGATGGCTGTGGTCGCTGACGCCGGGTTTGGGCTTGTCTCCCCCTCCTAGAGCATTGGGGGTCAGGGACGATGTCCTTCTGCACGTGCCAGTGGAAAGCTGCACGGAGGAGATACCCAGTCAACGTGGACGCATCAGGGAGATTCTGGGCTTGGAGGGAGCTGTGGTACTCTCCATCCAGGATGATTGCCACTCAGCTTGCTCTCTCGCCACAGGGTTTGATGTTTGGCTACGCCACCGACGAGACAGAGGAGTGCATGCCTCTCACCATCATCCTCGCCCACAAGCTCAACGCCCGGATGGCCGACCTCAGGCGCTCCGGTGTCCTCCCCTGGCTGCGGCCCGACTCTAAGACTCAGGTGAGTGACTGAATCACCCCGGGAGAACCCTAGACAGAGGCTTTAACACCCACAAATCCTCTTCATTCTGTCATTTTTTTTTTTTTTTGAGTCGGAGTTTCGCTCTTGTTACCCAGGCTGGAGTGCAATGGCGCGATCTCCACTCACCGCAGCCTCCGCCTCCTGGGTTCAGGCAATTCTCCTGCCTCAGCCTCCTGAGTAGCTGGGATTACAGGCACGTGCCACCATGCCCAGCTGACTTTTTGTATTTTTAGTAGAGACGGGGTTTCACCATGTTGACCAGGATGGCCTCGATCTCTTGACCTTGTGATCCACCCGCCTCGGCCTCCTAAAGTGCTGGGATTACAAGCGTGAGCCACCGCGCCCGGCTCGTTCTGTCATTTTTAAGATCAAAATATTCAACCTGGGCACTCAAAGAATGGTCAGTTTTGAAAAGAACTATTTATGTGAAAAATCTTTAGCTAGAGATGCCTTCCACCACATTTTATTAAAAAAAATTCAAACATACAGAAAAATGGACAGAATAGTTCTGTTTTTGTTTGTTTGCTTGTTAGCAAACGTTGACTGATGAGTCCCCAGATCCTGCCACAAACATGCTTCTTAACTGTCATCCATACTTGCAGGCCTCTTTGTCCTGAACAGGCTGTCTGTTGTCTGAGTCTCCTGTTTCTGTGCTCTGTCTGTGCTGTCTGTCTGTGCCGTCTGTCTGTCTGTCCTGTGCTGTCTGTGCTGTGTCTCTGCTGTCTGTCTGTGCTGTCTGTGCTGTGTCTGTGCTATGTCTGTGCTGTCTGTCTGTGCTGTCTGTCTGTCTGTCCTGTGATGTCTGTGCTGTGTCTGTGCTGTCTGTCTGTCCTGTGTCTCTGCTGTCTGTGCTGTGTCCGTGCTGTCTGTGCTGTCTATGCTGTCTGTGCTGTGTCTGTGCTGTGTCCGTGCTGTGTCCGTGCTGTATCCGTGCTGTGTCCGTGCTGTGTCTGTGCTATGTCCGTGCTGTGTCCGTGCTGTGTCTGTGCTGTCTGTGCTGTGTCTGTGCTGTGTCCGTGCTCTGTCCGTGCTGTGTCCGTGCTGTGTCTGTGCTGTGTCCGTGCTGTCTGTGCTGTGTCCGTGCTGTGTCCGTGCTGTGTCCGTGCTGTCTGTGCTGTGTCCGTGCTGTGTCCGTGCTGTCTGTGCTGTGTCCGTGCTGTGTCCGTGCTGTGTCCGTGCTGTGTCCGTGCTGTCTGTGCTGTGTCTGTGCTGTGTCTGTGCTGTCTCACCGTGGCCCTTTTTTATGTCTTTGTTTCTTATGAAAAGGCTTTACCTCTGTTGTTTCCAGCTCCAACCCATGGGCCCTGACTTCTCTTCTCCCTCAGTCTTGAAATCAACCAGAGGCCTGTATTTGAAGGCCAGGGTGATGCAAGTGTTAGTGGAGGCACCGGCCTCCTGGTGCCTCACTCCTGTATCCCCTCCCTGCGCAACCCCAGTGACCCCTCTCGTGATTCTCAAGTTCCCGGCACTTTGTCCTGCACAACCTCTCTTCCTGTGTCGACGCTCATGGACCCCATTGGCACCTTCACATACTCAGCTCCCCCATCTCCCACCTGTGGGTTTCTCTGGATCACTAGCCCCATTTCTCCTTCGCCCTCTAAGCAGATGGGCCCTGAGAGCATGCCGTGTGCACACCCTGCCACCTCCCGCCTGCCCTCCCCAGTCCTGCTCAGCGCCATCTCTCTCCACCGATGTCCCCAGTTTGCCCCATCAAGCATCCCTCTTGCTCCAGTCCAGCCTTCCCCAGGGCTGCCATCACCTCCGCCAGGCCGGGATCAGCACCCCACCCTCCCACAGGTTCTGCCTGCCTGGAAACTCCAGTTAATTCCCTTTAGGCTTCACTTTTCATTTCCTAGTATATATTCAGTGTTTCTCAACTTTTGGCTTCCTACAAGGGGAAGGGAGAAATCCACTTGTTATTCTGGCATTCCGAACCTTTTGTGGTCTTCCAACTTTACCTGCCTCTGCCCGCTCCGCCCCGTCTTTGCATAATCGACATCATTTCACTCATGGTCCCTTTGTTTCTTAGTGCTTTGCTTTACCTGAGCTCTCTCTCTCTGGTCCTCACCTGTCCTTGAGCGGCCAGTGAAGTTCTGCCTCTTCTAGGATGCCATCTCTGGCCACCAGCAGACAGTGCCTTCTCTTGTCCAGCACTTGGAATCTGGCACCCATGGCACTATAGCTCAGCGTGGTGTGTCTGTCTCCATGTACAACTCCAGCTGCACAGAGATGGAGTTCCTTCTCGTGCAACTGTCAGGCCATGGACAGGCCGGAGGTTGCATACTGGCTGTACTGGGGCAGGGAAATGTGCTTGTGCCCAAAGGGAACCCTTCCTTGGGACTTCCCGTGTTATCCACATGACCCCAAGGTGGGGATGGGAACCATCAGCATTCCTTGGGTGTTCTTGGAGGTTGTGGGTTAGGAGAGCTGAGATATGTCGATTGTAATGGCACCCAAAGAAAGAGACCCATGGTGTCGGCATGCCCTGGCCTGTCCTGGACTGGAATGCTGCCATGTTATAGAAGCAGGGTGAAGATTCACAGAAGAGGAAGTCTTAGAACAGGGAGGGGAGGCAGCCAGTGGCACGGACTGTTTTTCCCTTCCTTGTGCAAAAGAGGAATGGAGGGACCTCCTCCTGGGCCTGCTGAAACGGGTTCATTGTGCTTAGATATGAAAAAGAAGGTTTCCAGGTCTAAGGGGCAGCAAGGGAGGGAGGGAGGGTGACATGGGCCCTTCTAGGGTTTCCCTTCCTTTGAAGAATTATCTTAAAAATGCCAATACGGATACCAGAGTCAGCCTCACTCCCCTGCCACAGGCACAACAGCAAACCAGCTCCAGTCGCTGGGGTTGCAGGCTTGCTGTGGGGCTCTAGGAGGCCCCTTGCTGGCCAGTTTCCGAGCACCCTGGCTTGCTCTCTACACTCCCTGGGTCATGACCGGCTTGCCTAGGTCCCCTTCTCCACACCCTGTTTGTGAAGGAGTGTCTTCATCCACCCGGACTGCTGGTGCAAGCAGGATGGCTCTTTCCACCTGAACAAACCCCTGCTGCTGATAGTGCGGCCTGGGTGGCGGTGCAGATGGCTATTTTTGTACCTGGTCGGGGCTGTGTTTTCCATGGTGTGTTTTTCCCCACATCTTGCTGACATGATGAGATAAGCGCTGTGCTTGGGGCCCTTTGCTCTGCCACTCTGTTCTATGGTTCTGCAAGGCCGCTGCGTGGAGTCTGCCAGGTGTGGGTGGAGTCACCCAGGGGAGCAGCGAGCACTCTCCCCAGCTGAGTACCCTCCCCGGCTGAGCACCCTCCCCACCTGAGCACCCTCCCCGGCTGAGCACCCTCCCCGGCTGAGCACCGTCCCCAGCTGAGCACCCTCCCCGGCTGACCACCCTCACCGGCTGTGCGCCTTCTCCCCATGCAGCAGACCCAGTCCTAGCATCTGCCACAGACAGTACCTCTCTTCCCAGGAGTCCCCAGGGTATCCCCAGTCACCCAGGGGAATGTAGAAACACTGAATAGATGTTAGCAGTCTTCCCGGGAGGCCCCAGTCACCCAGGGGAGCAGTAAACACCCTCCCTGGCAGTGTACCTTCTTCTGAGGTTCTATGCAGCAGACCCAGCCTTAGAGTCTGCCACAGACAGTGCTTCTCTTCCCAGGAGTCCCCTACCCCCGATCCCAGCCCCTCTCCCAGGGCCCTGTGTGTGCACAGCCCAGCATGTGAGGGCTGCTGTCAGCCTACAGCGTCTGTGTCCATCTGCCCATCTCATGCAGATCTCACATGGCAGGGCTTTTTCTCGTGTTTCTTCTGGGCCTTCCTTGTTGCTCCTTAGACCAGGCAGAACACAGAGTAGGAGTCTGATATAGACCCAGGGTTTGACGAGTACCTGAGTAGCCTTGGGCAGATAGAGAACTTGCTGCAGGCACAGGCCCAGGGAGCCACAGTTTGCTGCCTCGGGGTTCTGTCCAGGCCCTGGGATGGGAGCAGTCCCGTACCCACTGAACAGTGTCCCTCCCAGGGCCATTTGGCAGAGCTGCACTCCTGCAGCACCACATGGCCCCCAAATCCTCTGAGCCCTGCTCTTGTGGGTCCACACTGCCTTCAGCAGTATTGGGCCTGGGGCCAGCACAGGGTCTTGAGTGGCATCCAAACTTGTTCTTGGAAGAGCCCTGTCTACCAGCCCATGCAGCGCCAGGTCAGGTCCCAGCTCTTCCGGCTGTGGGATCTTGACCAAGGCATTTACATTCTGGAACGCTGGCTTTCTTATCTGTATCACTGGCAGAAGGAGAGATACCTCCTGAGACATAGGGGGGGTCAAGAAAGGGCTTTGGCCATGGGGACATTTGCTGGCACATGAAAGCCTCTGAGACAGTAGAGACATGTTGCGGGTCGTAAGTTGAGAGGAAACTCAAGTCTCCAAGCAGTGCTAATTGTGGTCTCATGTGGGAATAGCTGGGCCTTCCACCCAGTCCTCCCACAGCACCAATTTTCTGAATGTAAAAATGTGTCAGATTAACTCCCCCAATGCCCTTTGAAGACACATATCTGTGCCTGGCCACGATGTACATCCGGTCAGCCTCAGCCTCACAGGGTCTTCCCCACCCTTCTGATGGACAGGTGACAGTTCAGTACGTGCAGGACAATGGCGCAGTCATCCCCGTGCGCATCCACACCATCGTCATCTCCGTGCAGCACAACGAAGACATCACGCTGGAGGAGATGCGCAGGGCCCTGAAGGAGCAGGTCATCAAGGCCGTGGTGCCAGCCAAGTACCTGGACGAGGACACCATCTACCACCTGCAGCCCAGTGGGCGGTTTGTCATCGGAGGTCCCCAGGTGCATCCTTGTCTCTGAACGAAGCCTGGTTTTTCTTTGTTGCTTATATCTTGGTGCAGGAAAATCACAAGAGCTGGCTTGGAGTGGCTCAGCTAGCTCTGGCCATGGACTAAATGTAAAGTTGGTGAATTTTGGCCTCTGTACATTTAGTGTACTCTCTGTGAGGAGGGGGGCTGCTGCGTTTCTGGCAATGTGTGAGAAATTGGGGGCATGTACTTAGGATTCCTCCACTTAGTGCCATCAGGCCTTCCCACTCCTGCCGTCTCAAGTGGTCACTGACCTTCCCACGGCCACCGTGCCTCGCCCTGCTCTGGCGCTCATTCTCTGCTGCAGCATTTGCACATGGTCAGCTGTCCCCAGGTGGCTGTTGCCAGGTCTTTGCCACAGGCTGCCTCTGGCTCTTACGGCCACCAGGCTGGGTGTTTTAGATGGGGTACCACTGCCCCCACTCCTGTGCTGCAGGCGTGAGGAGGTGGAGGTTGCAGAGTACCACTGCGAGGCTGCTGCCCACCGCTCAGGCCCTTAGCTGTGCATGCTTTGCCACAGAGCTGAGCCCCATCCCAGGTTCCAGGAGCAAACGTAGTGTAGAAACACAGGGTAGAAGGAGGTAACACTTACTGTTTTTTCTTGCAGGACTTCTCAAAGCCTAGACATACTAGTGTGAACTGTGGATCTCTAAAAGGGATAGGGGTAGAGTATGCAGACTTCCCCAAATCATTTCACATAGAACTCCAGCCTTTTAAAGACATCACTGTTGATGGGTGTTGCCCAGAGCACACCCGGGAAGTGGGCAACATGGCATTTGCTAGGTGGCACCAGCCAGGCCACAACCGGGGGTTGCATTCATACAATGCAATTCCCGCCTGCAGTTGCATCTCTCCATTGTGATGGACTGAGTACTAAAGGCATTAGGGAGTGGCTGGGACCCCAGAGAACTGCTGGCCCACCTTCTGCAGTTTCTAATGAAGCTTTGGCAGGTTACCTGATAATCAGTATGTGGTCAGTGACTGAACTGGGAGTGAAGTCAGAGTTTTTGGCCAAGGGGTCTTAGGAAAATGTCTGTGGGCAGCCCCAGGATATCTATCCTTCCCGAGGTGCAGTTCAGTGGCCGCACGGTGCTTCAGCCTCTCCAGCATCTAGGGGCTGGCTCTGCTTCTCATCTTGATTTCTTTCCCTCTGCAGGGGGATGCGGGCGTCACTGGCCGTAAGATCATTGTGGACACCTATGGCGGCTGGGGGGCTCATGGTGGTGGGGCCTTCTCTGGGAAGGACTACACCAAGGTGGACCGCTCAGCTGCATACGCTGCCCGCTGGGTGGCCAAGTCTCTGGTGAAAGCAGGGCTCTGCCGGAGAGTGCTTGTCCAGGTAGGCTCCCCCAGCTCCCCCCACCATCTTGTTGCAGCGGAGGACCCCTGCCCAGCTCTGCCCTGAGTAAGGGGATATTGGCCCAGCGGGAAAGCCACATGCTTTGCCAAAAGTTGTGACTATGTGATTGTGTGGGGCACTGTGGCCAGGGCTCTGAAAACCTGGGGGAGGGAAACCAAAATCTTCCGGAAAGGGGGCATGTAGAGGAGCTGCCCTGGGTGAAGACAGCAGGAGAACTGCGGGGGAGCATGTTGGGCAAGAGACGTGTGGGCGCCCCCTCCAGCAGAGCTTCCGAGAGGGGCAGGACCCACACACAGGCTTCAGTCCCTGACGCTGTGCCTTGCTGGAAGGTTTCCTATGCCATCGGTGTGGCCGAGCCGCTGTCTATTTCCATCTTCACCTACGGAACCTCTCAGAAGACAGAGCGAGAGCTGCTGGATGTGGTGCATAAGAACTTCGACCTCCGGCCAGGTGTCATTGTCAGGTGAAGCGGCACGCACTGCTGTTACGGGGGACCTTGCTCCTCCCTCGCCCAGATATTCATTCACCTCACCTGAAAGGGAGGCAGAAAGGAGGGTTTTTCCACTTCTCAGCAGTGGGAGGGTCTGTGAGCTCTTGGTCCGGCACAGTGCATCCCCAGTGCAGAAAGCCTGGTTGTCAGGTTGAAGGAGGCTACCGCAGGTCCCTGCTGGCCCAGCCAACACCAGGGGCCATCTCTGAGCAGCTGGGAGGGAGGTGGGGATCTTAGGAAAATAATTATTAATATAAGGCCAAATGACTCAAATGGCTGGGAATCGAGTCGGCAAGTCGCATCCCTGTTTCCTGGAGCTTGGTGGTGTCGAGATTGGCCTGGGCCTGGTCAGTGGAGCTGGAGGAGAAAGGTGCCTAAAGGTTAGAGTTAGTTCTTGGTCCCTGAACCTCCTAGCATCTGTGGGGTATAAAATGAGACCGTGGTTGCCACAGATAGGATGTATGTGCCAGACTGCCTGGGAAGGTGAAGTGCCACGTGAGGAGGGCTGCGTTCATTGCTCACTCCTGCCCTTGAAATCCAGATGAGGAAACCCTGCCTTTGTTCCATTTTCCAATGCCCTTCCTTTCCGCTGGACATGCAGGGATTTGGACTTGAAGAAGCCCATCTACCAGAAGACGGCATGCTACGGCCATTTCGGAAGAAGCGAGTTCCCATGGGAGGTTCCCAGGAAGCTTGTGTTTTAGAGCCAGGGGAGCTGGCCTGGTCTCGCCCTGGAGGCGCCCGGTGGCCATGCTTCTCTTTCCCAGAGCCCTGGCCACTGACCGCCTTCCCCACCCACCACCCCTTGGGGCAAAGCCAGGTCCCTCTCATTTCACCTGTCCTGTTATTATCATGGCTGGCTGGAGGCAGGGGCTTCCTGGTGCTGGAGGTTGGATCTTTATGTGAGGATGGGCATGATGTTCTCCTGCCGCTCCCTCCAACTGGGGCAATGTTAATTTAGTGGAAAAGGCACCCCCATCAAGAGTGAATTTCCTCACTTGCCTTCCCCCACAGCTGGACTCTGACCAGCTCCCCCTCCCTCCCCTTGTCTGTGCCAGAGGAGGCCAGCACATCTCACAGGCCTCAGGGCTCCTGTGGGCCTGGGCTCCTGGGCCTCCCTTTCACAGGTAGCCAGCGCCCTGAGCCAGGGTCTCCAGAAAGCCCCTTCCGGGCCGGGCACATGGCAGGGGTTAGAGCAGGGCTGATGTCTCCTAAGCATCTGTAATGTGCGAGGGACCCAGCCAATGACTGATCTCATTCTTTCTTCACCGCAACATGATGAGGCAGTACCTTTTATTATCCCATTTATAGATGGGGGAAACCAAGGCACAGAGAGTCTGGATAACTTCCACAGGGTCCCACAGCCGCGAGTTGAGGCCTAGATGTGTAACTAGGAGCTTTGACTCAGGAGCCTGTAACATCCCCCCACCCCACTGTTGTCTCATGCCAGTAACAGGCTTAAACAAGGACAAAAGCAGATTCTGAAATGAGGCCATGGACTCTGTCCTAGAGGCGTGAGGTTATTGGAAATTAGGGGATTAACCCCTACCAGCTCTTGTTGAGCTCTGGGCAATGGTCTGCAAAGTGAAGACGGAACCATAGGACGATTTTGTTTGCTTCATGTGTCCCAGAAGATGGTAAAAGGTGAGCTGGAGGCCTGGCCCATCAGGGTGGGCTGGAGTTTGGGATTAACCAGCAACTTTAGAATCCCAGCCTCCTGACCACTCAGAAGCGTGCAGAGATTGGGTTTTTGGACTTCTGGGACAACTGGTCTAAGTCCAGGCCAGCCTCGTCGGGGCTTCCTGGAGCAGAAGGAGCAACTTGTCCTAGCACAGATGGCCACCCCTTAGCCAGAGGCCTTCAAGTCTTTCTCTTTCTCTGGCCCCTTGTATCCTCTGTAGGCTGAGTACATTTGGAGGGAGGGAGTGGGTCCTTCAGATGCCCCATCCAGGGAGGCTGGTCCTAAGGCCTCATGTTAAATAGGTGGGGCTTGCCTTCTGGTGGTTGACAAGCTACTGAGATGTCATGAGGAGATTCTGCCTTTGCCAGGTGACTCTGTGGGGGCAGGTCTGCTCCCAAGGGGCCTGAGCAGACCTTGGCCTGCCAGGGTCTTGGAATTCACCTGCCTTTCCATCTGTGGCCAGTAGTACCTGCCCTACCCACCCCACTTGTCCTTAGCCTGGACCTCTGATAGCAGCATCTCTACCTTCTCCCCAGCTCCCAGGACCACATGCTCAGGCACGGGCCTCCATAGGCCCCAGGGGAACACTGGGGACTTGGCTTCTTTCTAGGATGCATGGTGCTTATTCGGGCTGGAGGAGGCAGCCCAGGAAGTCTCATCTGGGGAGCAGGCAGCCTGCATCTGGGCTTTGGCCTGGAGCACAAAGACCCTGGAGCCCAAAGACCCTGGCTTTCATTTTCTATCAGACAAAAGGAAATTAAGGCAGCAAACGAAGCCCAGCTCCTGGTCACCTAGGAAGCCTCAAATTGCTTCCAGTGGAACGAAGGAGAGGTTTGCAGGTGCCCGAATTCCTCTAACTTGGGTCATACTCAATGTGAAAATTCAGAACTTTATACTTTTCCTTCCTTCTAGAGAAATAGGAAACTAAAGCCTTTATTTGTTAATAGTTCCTGCTAGAACAGTGAATAAAAACTCAAGGAGCAACTACCCGATGCTTATTTTTTTTTCTACGCGACACCTGCTCTGTGTAGCATGCCCTGGCTCCCCCGCCCAACACCAGTGGAAGTTGGTATCCTCCCCTTGGGGTCACCCCATCCTGTGCATGGACTAGGTTTTCCTTGTTACTGGCAACTATGTTAAGCCACACCACTGCATGTTCATTCCTCCCCACACCTCACCGAGGTGGATATTCTTAAGAAGCCCATTTTACATGCGGGCCCTGAGGCCCAAAAAGGGTGAGGGCCAAGGACAGCGGCCACCTCTAGATCCTTCCTGAATTCTGTGTGCTCTCCTGACACATTGCTGCCCCTGGGCTGCCTGCGCTGCATCCGGTGCTCTTCCTGTATGGTGTCTGCATGAGGCTGGTGCCAGGGCACGCTCAGGCCATGTTGAAGACTGAACTTGAACAAAGTGAGGGAGTGGAGGGGCTTGGTCTACGGAGAGGGGAGCCAAACCTTTCAGTGGGTGCACATGTCCCTTCACTCATGTTCACTTGTGAGGAGAATGAGCAGATGGCTCTTTTTCATAAGAAGGTCGTCCCTGCCATGGGCCCCGGTGATGTGGTTTTTGGGGTTTGATCAGAGCAGGAGGAAGATGGATCCTGCATGGTTCCCGGCAAGCAGACTGCGTGGATAGGACTCTGCTCTGGGGAATGTCCCGGTGCAGCCTGAGGCAGAGCCTGTGCGGTCCTTCTGTTTCGAGGGCTGACAAGGCTGACCTGGGGTGCCAGGAAGACCCAGAATGTGGCAGGGAGGGGTGAGGAGGATGAGGACAAAGGGCCTCACAGTCCTGTTTGAGACAGAACCTATACCCTGAGAAGACACTAGGTGGGCAATCAATGAAACGTGACACATTACAGAGAGAAGCAGGTTTCTCGAGAATGCATACAAACAGACACACTCATGAAACACACTGGAATACTTGCCTGGGGTAAGGGGAGGACTCTGTAGGTATAATACGCAAAACAATTAGTGAAAGCAAGGGAACCAACTTCTGAGCCGCAGAGCCAAGTGTCACGATGTTGGAGAAACATGGAAGGAGCAAAGGAGATTGGCAGGGAGCGGCCAGTGGAGTTGGAGGAAACTCAGGAGGGCAGGGTGCCTGGAAGTCAGGTGAGGACTGTTTCTAGAGCCAGGGAGCCACCAACTATGTGAAATGGTTTTGATGGGTTACATGATGGGAGGCCCAGGACTGTGCAGTGAATTCAGCCACATGGAGGTTGATGATGTGGGAAATGGCAGAGTCACATTTAAAAGTAAATATGACCCCGTCCCTCACCCCAATTGTCCTTCCCTGGGACATCTCATGACATTCAGAGCCTGTGCTGTGTTGCGCTGCCCTGCACGCAGTGCCCAGCCCCTGCCCTCATCCAGCACTCTGCCCCGCCGCCCCTCTGCGCTCCGGAACTCCTGCCTCTTGGCTTGCCCCGACAGGCCAAGCTCGTTCCTGCTCAGGGGCTTTGCACCTTGTCATTCTGTCATGGGTGTGGGGTGCACTGCAGGTTTCAGATGTAATTTCTGTGTTTCCAAAAAGCCCCTTTCTGGATAGCCTCTATTTCTCCTCCATTCCATTTCTGGTTTCTTGTTCAATGTTTAACATAGTGTTCCATGGAGCCCACCCCTTCACTGGAATTCTTCCACATCCATTCACTCTCTCTTCCTTCTCCACATGGGGCTCCTCCGAATCCCCACAGTCTCAGCTGACAGCCGCCCTTCATAATGCTCCCAGTCTTCCAGGAAGATACTCCCAGCACCCTCCATAAATCACACCCAACGTCATCTCCATCTGGTACCGGGCTATCAACGGTTGGAGTTCTTTAAGTGACTACATATTTTCTTTATTAATAATGATGTTATGGCAATAATTCTGTGGCGCACACTCTGAAGATGATGTATCAACCCAAAGAAGAAAAGATTTTTTCCGCAGCTTCATTAAGGTATGATTGACAAATAAAAATTGTATGTGTTCAAGGTATACAATGTGACGATTTTGCTATATATATATATATACTATGTAATACCACAAGCAAATTTATGAACATATCCATCATCACACACAGTTACCCTCAAATGCTGGAATTCTTCACGGAAGTCAGTGCTTGCTTATTTATACCTGTTGTCCCCAGAGGACTTGGGGCTTCCAAGTTCATCTGGACTTGTCTGCCATCTCTTACTTGCCTTCAGTGCAGAGATTGGCACAGAGTAGGTGCTTGGTCTAGCACGGGTTGCCTCAGAGAATGAATTTGAGGTGTGTCCATCTCTCCTGCTTCCTGAGCTCCCCTTAGCAAAGATATTCTGTAAGATACAAGGATCCTAACTGGCCTTTGGATCAGACTCAGGGGCTCAGAGATGTAAATGTCAATCATTCCATAGAGCTGTTCTTTTAAAGCACCTGTTAAAAGCACAGCACTGTGACTATAAGGATTTATACGATTGATCACTTGGCATTTTAGTTATTTCAACCCTGGAAGTAACCATGGCATGACAACGAGGGAGACACACCTCATGTCAGAGGTCCCGGAGAAAGGTGACATCCGATAAGGGGCAGACACACAGGAGGTATGAGTTGGAATTCACTTGGGGTGGTTGGCAAAATATTACAGGAAAGATTTAGGGAAAGTTATATAGTCTCAAACCTTTGGGAAGGCCGAAAGGTTTTATTAGGGCAGGCAGAAAGTGACTGGCTGGTCCCTTACGTTAGTGAGAAGATAGGGAAGAGGCTTTTACCTGCTTAAGTCTGTTTACCCCACATCCCTTTGTCTCTGCTTTGTTTACTCATATATCTTTGTGCTGGATGGGCCTCTCGGGGAGATCAAAGGGGAATTACTTGTTAATAGTGTTTACTCTGGGCCCCAGAACCTAAAGCTTTTATCATTCGTATAACCACTTTTTTAACCATGTTAATTATCCACAAATGCATTAACTTAGAACCTCTGTTAGAATAAATGTGTGGATGAACAGGGAGTCTCGGGAGACTGGTTGCGTTTCGCCCTCTGAAAGCAGCCAACAGCCATACCCAGCCCACCTGAAACACTGTAATGGTGTTGAGTGCATTCATTCATCCATTGTTGAGTCAGGGTCTGCAGGCCAGACTTCCACAGGTGAGCAACGTCTCAGGTGGTGACCCCGATGTGACCGAGGACACGATGAGTGAGGCTGTGGAGGTGGGAGCTTGGTCTGAAAAGTGTAGGAGGTGCTTTGGGGTTGGCAGCGGAGGCGGGGTGAGAGAAGAGTCTGGGGAAAAGAATTAGCTCAGCAGGGGCCGGTTGGGATGAAAGGCCTGGGGTGGGAGCTTTAGAATAACTTTATGCCTGTGGCAATTCCCTAGAGTAGGTATGATTCAGGCACAGAGTAAGAGGCGGTGTGACAGACACCTGGTCCCTGGGCTATGACGTCTCCTTCCTTCCTACAGTGATGCCTTCCTTCCTACTTTCTTTGGAGAAAGAAGGAACAGGGACTGTGTTCTGAGTTTGGTTCCTGTCGGCTCAGATGCAGAAAAATGTGGGTAGATGAATAACTCAATGGGAAGCAGAAATCAATCCAAGAGAACAGGAGCGCTTACAACCTCAGCCGTGGACTTGGACGGCCTCTATAATACGGGAGGCTTGTCACACCCTTTGATGTGACTCTCATAGGACAGGAGCCAAATAATTTGCTGTCTTAGTCTTTTTAGGGTGCTGTCACAAAATAACATAAACGGGGTGGCCCATAAAGAAATTTGTTTCTCACAATTCTGGTAGCTGGAGGTTTGAGAGCTGGGCACCAGCGTGTTGGTTCCAGAGAGGTCCTACTTCCTGGTGCAAATGACCCCGAGTTCTCATTGCATCCTCACATGGCAGAAAGAAGGTGACAGCTGGGGTCCATTTGATAAGGGCACCAATCCCATGTATGAGGGTTCTGCCTCTCAAAGGCCCCACCTCCTAATATCACATTTGAGGTTAGGATTTCAACATCTGACCTTGGGGGACACAAACATTCATGCCGTAACACTTGCCAAATCTGATTTCTTAAAAATGAAACTCTTGTGCATTAGGAAACAGCCACAGGTGAAGGTAAAAGGTAAGTGACAGGGTAGAAAATATGTGCAATCTGAATGGAATGAACCGCAGCTGAATAAGAAAGCAATACGAGCCCCAGTAGGAAATGGAAAAATCTATAAGGATAGGAATAAATAAATACAGTCAAAGAAATGGAGAAAGTCAAGAGAAACAAACGTTGCTCAACTGTACTTGTTTCAAAAAATAAACACTTTCAAAAATGCAGCGTTGTATTTTGGCAAACAGATGGCTAAAACACAAAAAGAAAAAAGAAACAAAAAGATTTTTAAAATTCAGGGCTGGCAAAGATATAAGGAAATAGACATTCCCAAACACAGTTGATAGGTATAAATCGGTACAAACTTTCTAGATGAAAATGTAGTTCTTTCTTCTTGAAATGTAAATGTCATGTTTGCCTAGTTTGACCTGGGCATCAAGATAGAGACAAGCACTTTGCTCCCAGGCCTAGAGGACAGGACCCCAGGAGGTCAAGGTCAGCATGTGCTGAATGGAGGATGGGGTGGGCGGATCTTGGGAAAGCATCCATTCTGGGCCACTGAAGCGAAGTGGGGCTCCCTCCTGTTCCAGGGTGGAGGGGGCTGCCTCTAGGGTGTTTTCAGGAGTACCCACAGAAAGGTCCTGGGAGACAGTGCTTGGCTGGGAGGAGCCCCCACCTTCACGGGCCCAAGGCTGCAACTGTGAGGCCAATCACAGCATACTAAGAGGACAGGAATTCCCTTCCTGGGAGGCTGTCAGAATTCCCTTCCTGGGAAGCTGTCAGAATTCCCTTCCTTGGAGGCTGTCTGTCAGAATCCCAAGTGACCGAGAGGAAACTGAGACTCTGGCAGGGGAGGACACTTTGGAGGACGACCCACCCACTCAGAGAACAGATTGTGTCCCTGGGCAGGATGGGAGCCAAGGGTGGCAGCGGCTGGATCTCCCTCCACTTCCCT